GAATGTATTATGTATGCGTATGTGTGGTGCGTGTATATATTCGCATATTATTGTATAGCGCCTCTCTGATATTATCCTGGAACTAATCTTCTGTTATTTTTTCATCTGTTATACCGATATTGGACGCACACGTATGTAAAAATAGTCGGACAAGAATATTTTTTACATTAGACTTTTCAGCCCAATTTTAATGGTTCCATAACATTTTATTATGCAGTGCGCAATTCGCGCTGCTCTTATTCGGTGTATTAAAATCGTTAAACTTTTATAAAAAGCTAAAATTGATAGCTCTAAAAGACATGTTATCCTAAGAGTATATCAATAAAAATTAATGTTATAAATAACTTTATTTTTCCGAATTTTTTCGACCAACGCGAATTCCCTTTTTGTGTGCTCTTTAATCCTGCAAAAGAATTTTTAATTCTATGCAGGCAGAAAAAAGCTGTATTTGTTAGAAAAAAGTCAGGAAAAATACAGCATTCATGTGGTAAAACAGAACTCCAGCATCCTCTTAAAGAAATGTGTTATACGTATATATTGAAATATCTTCTATTATATCATTTACAAATACAATATGTTTAATAAGAAACTCTACTATTTTTAATAAATAATATGAAAAGACTTAGGTGATTAACAAAATCAAATAAAAATCAAAAGGAGCGTAAACAGCCACAATGCAAGTTCTTCGTGCGAAGGTTACTGTATTCACATTTGAAATTATTTACAAACGTTTCTGCCTGAAAAAAAATAGTAGATTAACAGTAGTGGATTGACATTTTAAATTTTGACTGATAAGTTTCAATAGTTATTCACTCTTCCATCTTGTTTCTTCTGGATAGATGGTTTTGCTTGTAACATGTCTGTATCACAATTTTAACAATCCATTTTAATGATCCGAATAATATTTCTGCGAAATGAATTCGAAATATATCATCCACTTCTTTGTATTTTTATAATTACTGCGTGCGATTCTTTCGTCAATATTATATACTGAAGAAGGTTTGATGTCAGTGCCTCAGGCAGAAACGTTTGTAAATAATGTTTCAAATGTGAATACAATAACCTTCGCACGAAGAACTTGCATTGTGGCTGTTTACGCTCCTTTTGATTTTTATTTGATTTTCTTAATCACCTGAGCCTTTCACATTATTTATTAAAAATAGTAGAGTTTTTTATATAAACATATTGTATTGTAGGATAAACTTTCGTATAGCGATAAGCTATTATGATATATTTTATTCAGTAATTTATTTACCATTTTACAGTAATTTTTTCAATTCCTTGAACTGCTAATATATTTAATTATAATTATACATAGATGAATCTGACGAAAACAGTAACGTTATGGATAATGCAAATAGAAAATCTGATATGAAGGCGATAAGAGAATCTCTACGATATGTATTTAACGAAAACACCATTAAATTATCCTTACATATAAATATAAATATTAATTTAATTAATATAAACATGTAAATACCTATGAATATTATTACAGTGATGAAGTGATTTGTTTAACATCTTTATAATAAATGTAAATAAAAATACCATATACTAATATTAATTTTTGCAGAATTTTACAGGAAGATGTTTGCTGCATAAAAGCAAGTATCAACAGACTTGAAAGAAAATTTAATTTACAAACTGACTTCCGAACAGCCATAAATGAGATAGGGTTACCGATATCGAGCAGGCAGACTTACATGGCGATAAATGCGGACGAAGAAAAAATAACTGCACTAGTAAGTGTATAAGTATACCTTCATGGAATTTTTTCAACTAGATTTTGAAATAAAGAAGTATTATGTAGTATTTTATAATAATTTGTATATTTCAATAATAATAGCAAAATCTATCATATTGAAAACTTCAATGCGCATATAATATGTTATAAATATTCGTTTGTTACATATGTACCTACGTATTACAGTTTTTGGTAAAATATTAACAACGTTTGCAGAGTCATATTAATTATTTTAGTCGTCTAGAAGAATAACTCTTGAAATGTTTGCATTTTTTTAAATTTTATCAGCTACTGTGTAGATATATAATTTAATTTATTATGTAACATTTCTTCAATATAGCAGGGGTATATGCAATGTTTGGGAGGAATTAATTTACGCGACACCCTCAATAAATTTATGAAAGCAACGTTCACTGATGATTTCGTTGCGAAAAACATTACATGAAAGCGAGGAAAAGGAGAAAAATTGCATTTCAGGGAGTCTGCGATATATAAGTGTAGCCTTTTATGGTAAATTATTACATATTTTTTGTCGTATTTTATTGCATATTTAGATAGTATAATCAATCTGCTTTTTATTACAGGAGCTACCAGAAATATAGCGAGTCTCGTCGATATTAATTTCAAAAAATATTCAGAAGAAATAAAAATAGCGATAAAAAACGCCTCCCAACGACATTACATGATGACAATCGGACGTCTATCGAGAGTTCAGGACCATAGACTTATATGAATAGACGGAGCATTGCCTATCCCCTCCTAAGAAAAACGTGTCCCTGAGCGAGTAATCGGACTGCGATAGAAATAGGGAGTGTACCAGCGTTCTCTCTCTTCTTCGCGCATGCGCTGTTCCGAAAATGTAAGGGAATAAGACTCAAGTAAACATAATTTATATAGAAACAAAATGCAAATGTGCAAATACATATACACACATATA